TGCTGCATTGGTCCCACCAGTCCTGAGACCGGTTCTTGACCCACAGCCGCCTCTGAGGAGGCGGCTGCGCGGGCCCGGGGACTGAATCTTGGTCTTCTGCTGCTGTGGCTGCTACTGCAGCCGCAGCGGCGGAAGCGAAAGAGCATCCCTGTTTTCTTGTCCTCTTCCTCGCGGCGTCGATTTGGTCGACGGCGTCATCGTGGCGGCGAACGTCGGAGAGGTACTCCCACATCGCGAGGTTTGCCGCCCGGCGGTTGGCTTCCAGAAAGGCCCTGTCCTCCATGTCTTCCCTGTCCAAAGCTTCGTGCTCCTCCTTTTCTTGCTCCTCAAGCAACATAAGCGACGTCAGTATCTCTTTCACCTCGTGGGTCTTCACCACCGCGCGCTTGTCGTCTTCCGGGACCTCGCCGCTCCCCTCCCCGTCGCCGGCAACGTCTTCCCCGGCGCCGCCGTCATTCTTCCGGCGGCGCTTATTGAGCAGGCCGTTCCCACTCATTTCTCAAGAAAAAATCTGGGTTCCGCGGATTTGGACTCAACTAGCAAGAGAGACAGCCGGAATTTCCCTGAGCATGGAAATGAAGCCTCATAAATAGAAAAAACTGAGGAAATCAGAGGGATTGCGGCGAAGGTGTTCGACGAAAAGTGTGAACGGATTGGGGGCTAAAAAATTCAAGGGGAAAAAAAAGCTTTTGACTTTATGGGATTTACAGACAGAAGGGAAGAAATGAAAAGGGATTGATGGAATTGAATTGAATAATAATGGAAGAATGATGGGGGGTTTGAAATGGGAGTACCTGGTTTTCGTGTGAAGGGGTTTGGAGAAAACGTGTGAAAGGTGTGAACGCGGCTTCCACACAATTTGACCGGAGGCGGTGACGCCACTGACACTAGACTCTCTCTCTCTCTCACATTAATTAGTTACGAATATTATTCATCTCTATCAAATCAATTGCCCCATATGGTACCCTACTCATTCTCACATTTTCCACCCATATTACTCACTAGTTTATGAGTATTTATCCATTTTTTATTTTTTTTAGTTAACATTAGTTAATTTTGATCTCAAATTAAATAAAAATGATATTAGATATTGATACAAAAATAGTTTTGCTAGATTAATTATATGAAATAATTTCAAAATATTATTTTATCTAATTAAAATGCAATATATATTTTATTGAATTATAGGTCAAAGGTTAGAAAGGGTTCACTAAAAAAAATCAAAACTAGACATATACTCATGTACGGAGGTTGTATCTCGCTGAGAGTAAGAACCCAATCAATACCAAAAATTCTTAAAAAGACAGAATTGAAAAATATCAAATAAAAGAGAAATAGAATGTTCGGTTCGGGGTAAATTTCATCAATGGTACCTGAACTTTAGCTGGAATTTCGAAGTGGTACCTCAACTTCAAATTCTTTCAAAAAGATCTCTGAACTTACACAATCCTTTCACTAATAGTCCATTTACCCGTTTCTAGATTAACTTCCGGTCATTTGGGCCAAATTAGAATTTTATATATTTTAAAATTTTCAATTTGACCCCATTTCTTCTTTTCTTTTCTTCCGCGCCCCGCCGCCGGTCAAAGTCGCCGGAAAATGAACTTGATCCGATTCCGGCGGGACCAACGTCATTCTCTTCGTCTTGAGACGAGGATCAAGAATATCCAAACCATTTTGTCCAATTTGGCCTGTAACTTCTCGAATCTGAATTTTTTCACTTGAAAAAAACCCTAAAATTCGAAATTGGGTCCAAAATTGGGGGTTTTGCAAATCGTCATCAAATCTTGCAATTGAGGGGTCCTTGGAGGTCGACGAGATGCCACGAACACATTGGAGTGGATGATCGGCGTCAAATTTGTCGGAGTTGGCCGGAAAATGCTCCGACCCGTATATATATACTAGTATATTATAAATGTAATAATCTTTTTATATATTTTTTCATTAAAAAATGCGTTTACTTTTAAAATTTGGCTGAAATTTTATTATGTATACATTGTACTCTTATTTGAGTTTTAATTTTTTGTACAAGAATTTAAAAATATTAACGCATATTTGAAACATCATTTTATTATCATCTACTCACACTAGTTTGTGAGATACTCCCTCCGTCCTGGAGTATTCGTCCAGTTTTGACTTTTGGAACTGTTCATCTAAGCACTTTGACTTATCAAATTCTCTCAATGTGTAAGCCTAAATACAGTCATGTGTGATCTTGTTTGATTTTTCTTAACATATAGATTATTAATATATAATTTCTATAATTTTTTAATATACAAATTACAAGATAAAATGGATTAAAGAAGTGTATTGGATGATGTGTAAAAATAAAAGTGGACAAATATTCTGGGACAGAGGTAGTATATTCAAAGTTTCATAAACATTTATTGCATTTAATTTTTCATTTTTTCATATTTTATGTTTTTTATTTAAATATGTTTTCGAATTTTAAAAAAATAAATATTTTTATGAGACTTCAAAATTTCATCATGATTTATCCTGATACCGAACCATCCCAAACCATACTGAGCTGACAGTACGACATAAAATTTATTATCAAACCGAAATATTTGATACGAAATCAGTATGGATTAAATATTATACCATACTCACTCCTAGTATCATCTATTTCTAATGTCACATTACTTTCTTGTTTATCTTTTTCTATCCTTGGTAAAATAATATCATGAGTTTGACTAGCAAAATTAATTGCGACAATAGTTTTGGGACAGATAAATTAAAGTATGTTTGGAGTACCCAACTTTGACAACAATTGCAATATCATTGTGACCCATTTCCAAAAGGAAAACTCTTGAATAAGAGTAAAAAGTATGAAAATACCAAAATATTAGTCATAAATATTTAAGACCAAAATTAAAGTATAATGACAATGGGGGCGCAAGAATACATGTTGATAGAGTAATAAAAAAGTGATCGATGAGAGTATAATATGACACTATGATCAATGATATTGGCAGTAATATTGTGACAGTTGTAGTGTGATATTGTGGTGAGCGTGGTAATGTAATAATGACATTATAAATTTTTGGATTCGTCTTAATAACCTACAACTCATATTATAGTATTTTTACTATTTTTTATTCTTATCTAAAAAGTTCTCTCTTTTTCAAATGGAGAGTCACGAGTTCGAACTCTAGTCTAGTGTAAAGGGTGTTAAATTTTCTCTTTATCACATTGAGATTGGATAATTGAAGAGATTATACGAAAAGCATATTGTATGTGATTTCTCTTCATATTTTAAAGTCATAAATTTCAATTAATATTTTTAAAATGTCAATGAACTATGTACAAAGTATCCATTTTTTGTTCATTTTTTTAAGGTTGTGAAAACTAAGCATCATTCACAATTAACGAATTTCATCCATGTAATTAATATAACGTCTAATTGAGAGTTAAAACATTCACTTTTCAGGATCTAAAAAAGTCAAAAGAGGAAAAAATGCATTATTAAAAAACACAATTTTGAAAAAAATAGAAGAGAAACAATTAGAAAAAATAGATGATACAAAATTTTGAAAAAGTTATTTACATTATAAAAACAATTTATGATTTAATTAGAAAAGGTTTAAAAATATATATATTAGGGCGTCTAATTTCACACCACTCATTTACGATACTAATGGCGACCCCAAATAAAGTGGGACACGTAGGGCATCTTGTTGTTAAAATTTGACTAACAACCGCCAAAATGGCACCAAAATGACATTAAAACTTATAATAATAATTTTCCAAAATGGTCCTCTCTAACTTTATATTTTTCTCAAATTGCATAATTTTTGAAATAAAAACTCATTAATTGTGGAAAAAATTTAAACTTTGTTGGATTAGAATATAATAAATATAATTGTAAATATAATTTTATAAATTTTAAACTAAACATTTCAAGTTATTTACATATGTTTAAAATAAGATAAATAAAACATCTATGCTCCTTTCATCCAAAATAAGACTTGTGTCAATAGAAAATTCTATACCAATTTTCTGTTAAATTTATTTGAAAATAACTTTGGTCAAACATCATAAATCAAAAAATGAGTCTTATTTCGGAATGGATGGAATCATTTATTGAATATTTAATTTACATGATATTCTTGAAAATAATTTTAAACAATCTAAAACTTTTGCGTTTAACTTTATTAAATTATATTTAATTTTTTTATGTATAATATTTTCATCGTATAATATTTCAAATGGTTTTTCTATATTTAATGGCTTTTTGTTTCGAAAATGGCCCAATTTGAAAAAAAATATTCAATTAGAAATGATCATTTTGGGAAATTAGTGTATGTTTTAACGTCGTTTTGACGCTGTTAAGACGGCCGTTAGTCGAATGATTAAATTGAGTGTTTTTATCAATTGGTGAGTATCATCTCGGAAGTTAGGTCATATTTGAAACTAATTTGGAAAAATATACGAAGTATAATTTCTTTGTCTATTAATTTCTTTCTCACTTTTCTTTTTGAGTTGTCTAAAAATTTCTTGTCCGTTTTCTACTTGTGCAAAAAACTTTTAATGAATATAACATTACACTATCACTTTTCATTGATACTATTTACTTTATTAAATCACATCAATGAAAAAAATGAAAAGTCTTTACATTTTTTTAACTTTTTTAATCTCCGTATCACGTCAAAATGAGAAAAAAAAATGTTAGGCGGAAGGAGTAGTTATTAAGTACCATTTAAAAATTTACTCTAAAAATAAAAATTAAAAATAGTTTCATGTAATTAAGAAAAAAATCGGAATTATGAATAATCAAAACAACACTATAAAAAAATCCTTTTAATAAAAAAAATATAAAACGGTTTCATGTAATTATAAGTAAAAAGTTAGGATTTATGAATAATCAAAGCAACACTATACAAAAAAACCTTTTAATTTAGAAATCAGGGAAAAAAGAAAACAGAAAAAAAACGAACTCCTAATTCTAGAAGAAAATAAAGCCTACGCAGAAGCGAGAACTCCTTTGCGCTGCGGACGAAACCCTCGGCCGCCTGCTCGCCTCTGCCCGGAATTCACCCTTTCTCCGCCGACGTCAGAAACCGATCAGCCAAACACGACCTTGCCCCCTCTGCTGCATCAACCCCGCTCTGCGCAGCAGCTCAACGCGATCACTCCTCCTGGTAATTAATTTTACTTAATTTTTATTATCAGTAATTAATTTATCAAATATAAGACTATGTTTGTTAATTTTACTTCAAAATATGTAATTATTAATAGTGTTTTCATATTAGCATTAACAATGCAGAGATATTTAAAAAAAACAAACTTTAGAAAATCAGAGTCCAGGGAAATGGTATAAATTTTGATATTAATGCTCTGGTGTCACAAGTATGAACTCAATGTACACATACTTAAGAAGAAAAAAGATCTTAATATTAATCTAGGTCTCAAATGTTTCTTTCTGGGCATGAAGTTTATGAAGATTGAGTTTTGAAATAAAATATGTGATCAGTGGTTGAATGATTTCTTAATAACATATGTTGAGAGTGATGTCCGATTGCTTAGTAAGATATGTATTTTTTACCATTAGTGATTATGTAATAATGGTCCACTTTAAAATAAAAGAAAGCTAGAAGAATTCAGTTGTAAAAAAACATCATTTTGTACAATTTTATCTTTAATTATGGTACTAATTGAATAGAAAATATTGGTTTAAATTTATTGCTAAAAGGTACAAATTAGCTCAAAATGGAATTTTGGAGTTTTGAGAGTTTGGGACTCCGTCGTGTGGGATCCAATTGGGTTGTTGTCGTTGTTGTTATTGTGAGAGTTTGGGACCTCGTGGTCACAAAATCCTGGATCCCCCTCTACCCTTGGAGGCCTTGAGTTCGAGTCACCTTTACCCGCGTAGTATAAATCCTTTACCCTACATTTGTGCATGAGTCTGAGCTTCTGATTCCACATTTATCCAACTGACCAACATCGTCATCTACAATATCAGCATCAGTTTCTGGCCTTTTCTAGAAAGCTACGATACACGTACATGGAAGTGATACAATCTTAGGTATTTTTAGTTCTACCCTTCTACCTTCTATTCTCCATCTGCCTATACCTCAAACTGTGATTATGTTAACCAGATATGAAACACAATCGGCATATGTTATCACCATTGATGAGTAATTGAGTATTTAGATATTTAGATGATCCGAGTTCCAAATCTGATTTACTTCCGTATTATTTTTGAAGATATTTATGAAACACAACTATACCTATCTTATTTTTACGTTTTTGACTAGGCATTTGCTCAGTTATTTTATTTCAATTTTTGTGATTTTTTATGTAATTTTATTCATATGTGAAGCGGCACTATAAAGCACAAAGGTGCAAGAAATTTGATAGGAAAGGGATAAACTATCAGTCTATCAGAGTAATGGGAAGTAACCAACTGGTGGCACAAATCCCAACGAGATTCGGCCATGAACTCAGGGCTTCTCTCTGCCGCCGTCTTGTCAAAACATATGACCAGGTTCCCCTTTGTGTTAGATTAGTTTTTTTCTGTAACCCTACAATCATAATTCTTTTTTTTTTATTTTGAAAATATACCGATACTTGTTCTGCACTGCTAGTACTCGTTCCCCATTTATTGAACCCAGACCCACCCCTGTCTCTACCGGTTTTGGCACCGATACCCTCACTCGCCACCGCCGGCACAGTATCGAGTCCGGATGTGGAATTGCTGGTACCGGTTCCGAACTCTATCGTTTCCAAGTCTATGCAAAAGTGGTTTGCCCCAAGTTTTATTGGTGTAAATAAAGTTGCAAGCAGTCATGAAATATTCAAGTCCCAAAAAGCATTGGAGTGCAGTCACAGTTTTTGCCAAGCGATTTTACTCCTGGTAAATGTTTTCTCATATTTGTTTTCCTTTGGCTTTTGATCTTATATGCTTCATTGTGTGTATATATTCACCGTAGAATGCATCAACTGCAGGAAACGTAATTTTGAAGTTCATGTGGATGCCCTCAGCATCAAAACTGGGTTTGACCCAAGAACATCTAGGTTCAACTTTCAGCTGAAGAATTTAATGAGAAGCAATCGGATTGCTGAGGCGGAAGAACTCTATGAACAAATGCCTTGCAAAAACACTTGCTCTGTAAATATGATGATATCAGGGTATGTTAATTCTGGCAATCTTTCTCGTGCTGGTGAGGTGTTTGATAGCATGTCTGAGCGAACGGAGGTGTCTTGGACAATAATGATTGGAGCATACTCGCGTCATAAGCAGCCCAAAGAAGCTTTTACACTCTACTCTCGAATGTGTAGATCGGGGATGAATCCTGATTATATCACCTTTGCTACACTTTTATCTAGCTGTGATGGCACATCAACTGCAATTGAAGTGCTTCAGATTCATGCGCATATCGTTAAGTTTGGATTCAGTTCAAATTCCATGGTTTGCAATAGCTTGGTGGATTCGTACTGCAAGTGCCAACGCCTTGATATAGCCCTTCAACTCTTTGAAGAAATGGCTGCTAAAGATTCGGTGAGCTTTAATGCAATGATAACAGGATTCTCCAAACAGGGTGCGAATGGAGAAGCAGTAAAGCTCTTTCAAGAAATGCAATACTTGGGTCTGAAGCCTTCAGATTTCACTCTCGCGGCAGTGATAGGCGCCGTTGTTGGATTAGATGATGCTACATTTGGGAGACAAGTTCATGCACTTGCAATTAAGACTAGCTATGTGTGGAATGTATTTGTAGGGAATGCCTTCCTTGACTTTTACTCCAAACAAAACCTTTTAGGTGACGCAAGTAAACTCTTTGATGAAATGCCTGAGTTGGATGGGGTTTCTTATAATATTATAATTACAGGGTTTGCATGGTATGGTCAGTATGAGAAAGCATTCCATCTCTTCCACAAATTAAAGAATACTATGTTTGATCGAAGGCATTTTCCTTTTGCAACCATGCTGAGCATTGCAGGAATTACTCAGAATTTACAATGGGGAAGGCAACTCCATGCACAAGCTATAGTGACTAAAGCAGATTCAGAGATACAAGTAGGGAATGCTCTAGTTGACATGTATGCAAAATGTGACAGACTAGAGGAAACAAATGCTATTTTCACATACCTGGCTTATAGTTCTGTTTCATGGACAGCAATAATCTCTGTATATGTTCAGAAGGGCCTTTTTGAGGAAGCCGTGACGTTGTTCAAGGAAATGGCTAGAGAAAATGTTCGTGGTGATCAGGCTACTTTTGCATGTGTAGTAAAAGCTTCGGCAAGCTTGGCTTCAGTTTCGCTTGGGAGGCAATTACACTCAGATATCATCAGACTAGGCTTGATGTCAAATGTTTTCTCAGGAAGTGCACTCCTGGACATGTATGCAAAATGTGGGGCTATAAAAGATGCAATTGAGATTTTCAAGGAGATGCCTGATAGAAATATAGTGTCCTGGAATGCAATGCTTTCAGCTTATGCTCAAAATGGTGACGATGAAGCTACCCTGAGGTCCTTTAAACTGATGACTGAATCTGGTCTTTATCCTGACACAGTTAGTTTCCTCAGTGTCTTAACTGCGTGCAGTCATCATGGGCTTGTGGAAGCTGCACAAGAGTATTTCAGTTCAATGACCCAATCATATAATTTGGAACCAAAGAGAGAACACTATACTACTATGGTTGATGTGTTGTGTAGAAACGGACGATTCGATGAAGCAGAGAAATTAATCTCTGAAATGCCATATGTGCCGGATGAGATTCTCTGGTCATCAGTTTTGAACGCATGCAGAATTCATAAGAATCATGAACTTGCCAGAAAAGCTGGTGACCAACTATTCAATATGAACATGTCAAGTGATGCTGCTGCTTATGTTTATGTCAATATGTCGAACATCTATGCAGAGGCTGGCCAATGGAATAAAGTAGCAAGAGTGAAAAAGGATATGAGGGAAAGGGGAATTAAGAAAGTAGCAGCATGTAGTTGGGTTGAAATTGACCATGTTGTTCATAAATTTACTGCAAATGATATGACCCACCCACAAGTTGAGGCAATTAGAAAGAAAATTGACTTATTGGGGATGCAGATGGAAAAGGAAGGATACAACCCGAACACGAAGTGTGCCCTACACAATGTAGATGAAGGAGTTAAATTAGAATCACTCAAGTATCATAGTGAAAGATTAGCTATCGCGTTTGCTTTGATTAGTACTCCAGAAGGGTCGCCTATTGTAGTGATGAAAAATTTGCGAGCTTGTATAGACTGTCATGATGCCATCAAAATAATTTCAAAAATTGTTGGGAGGGAGATTAGTGTTCGAGATTCAAGCAGATTCCATCATTTTAAAAATGGATCATGTACCTGTAGAGACTACTGGTGACATAACTATTTGGAAACAGTATAATAGTCATGTGAGTATCAACACTCCAGTGCTTAATCGTGTTCTTATCATTATAGAGGTCTTATTCAGCTCCATACGGAGTGCAGCTATGGTAGCTAGGATAGTAAAAAGTTGTTCTCTGTTGTCTAAAACATTCTTGATAGAAGAAAGTGTCCCATAATTATAGAATTTTTCTGTTTTTTTTTCCTTCAGATTTTAAAAGATCCTCTACTTAACATATTGAATTATGCTGGCATGTATGCAGTTTCTCTTGAGTGAGCATAGTTATCTGTTTCGGGAACCTTACCTCCACGGCTCCACCGAGATGTGGTAATTCTTCTTATATGGTTGAGAAAAGGTTGCTTGCCTATGGCGGTAGATGTGATATATGATCTGGATGAATACGCCATTTCATAATTTATTCTTCTGCCTTGTATGTTCCGATCATGTTGTGTCAGGGTGCAAAAGTTTACACATGTATTAATATAGGCAATAAAATTCTTTACAGTTTGACCCAATGATTGATAACTTCCTTCACAAAAGTGTACCTTCCTACGAATACTTCATTTCCAAGTGTTCATGGGGTGGGAAATTGATTGAGGATAAAAAGTAATGGAGTTTTAGGTGGCTTGAGGTGTGAGCTTCATTGAACTGTAACTTTATGACCATTTTTTCAAGACTATTTTTTTTGCCTTTCTATCTGATTGTTTATAGATTTTACCTAGCTTTTCATTTGAAAAAGAAAATTAAGTTATGACCCTCTGTCTCATACTAATGGAAGAGAAAAAACACCCTTTTCAATCAAACATTCTGATTCTTTTTTAAAAACAGAATTAGTATTATTTAAGTTCCTAACAGTAAATCTTATGATCTTAATGACAATTTTAAAAAGAAGGTTAGTAGTCGCCCATTTTCTTTAATTTTTCTTGAAACCTTTTGTTTGGGGTTTTCAAACAACAACATCCAACCCAGAAAAATACCATGAGTATGTGAGGTGTGGGAGTGGGTGCATATAGACCTTACTCCTACCCCGAAAAGGTAGAGAGGTTGCTTCCAAACGACATGTTTGGGTTTTACATTGATATATGTTATCTTAAACTTCTTATGCATTAACATATGCTCAAAATCTTGGTATGAAGTTTGAAATAGATTGACTCATGACTTTATTTGCCATGGACAGGAGGCGGAGCACTAATCCTGTGTGATTCATGGGCTTTGAATTGAAGGGCCTAACTATTTGAAAGGTTCTAATATGCTTGAATTGAAAGAGGTTGAAGTCATTGAGCAAACAAGTTGCAGACATTGAAAAGGTTTGTTGCTCTCTTAATAGTAGAGAAACAATCTGTACATAGTAATAGTAAGGAAGGCAAAAAATCATCAAGTTTACTTTATGTATTTTCAGCGTTAGCCTTCAGGTGAAAATGTGAAATTGAATGAGAGTAGCCAGAGGTATCCATGCTCTTGTAAAGCTAAAGTTGAAGTACAGGAACTTCTTACACTCTAAATATCTCCATGGAAAACAATCTTTTAACTTCTCTACTTGTATACCTCTTTTGTTCTTAGAGGATCCAGTTGCAAAGCGGGTAGCAACATCTCCTCCTTCCAAGGATGTCCTAGAAGACCAGGCCACCTTGTCACAAACTGACTCCCTTTCGCAATACAACGAGGTATTGTAGATTTGTCTTTGTAAATTGTCTTGTTCACCTTCAATGAAAGGTACACCACACGTTAAGGGAGTCCCTTGATTGGTTTTAGATTTCATTTCTTCAAACTCTCTTTCATTGAAATGTGTGAATTCACTAACTTATTACGGGTAATACTGCTTTAACACCATATTTCACACCACCTTCATTTTGTACTCACAAATACTCACTCATGCATGTCTATGTGCGTGCCCTAAGCACAAAAAATGAATGTGGTTTGAAAGGCGGTGTTAACATAGCATTTTGTCACTCATCACCCTTTTCCCTAATCACTACATCCAAGTAATATTGCACTACATCCAAGTAATATATTCTTTTCCTTTTATCGTAAGATGGTGTGGTTCATATTGATTCTTCCACGCCTAAATAGATAACCACACAAATACATTGCCCATGAAAACATATATGTGGAATTGACGCATGATGATGATAGTTTTAGAATTTGCATCCCATTGTTCCCGCTTATAAAGGTTACTAGTGGGACATCATCTGGTTTAATACACTGTCGCCGTGCTTTTTGCCTTAATTGGTTAATTAATCACTATAAATTTAAAGTCACTATCATTGACCACAACGAAGCTGGGATTAAGGTGTTGGTAAATCTGGTGATTCTGATGACAAAAACATGTACTCCTTATCAATTAAATGCGTATAACTTTTTTAGCCAAAGGGAATGTACTTCCCTTTCATGTCTATGTGCGAGAACTAATGTCCCATATCTTTTGTTTATCCTTTTCAGGAGATTACCCCAATTGTAAGTCTTTTTTCTTCATCCTCAACGGCTACTTTTAACAAGGTATATACATGATTGCCTTTAGCATATTGTCCTACTTATTTATAAAATTTTCAGCTCCTCCTTCCTTGTTGTTTGCTACATCGTTGAAGCTTAATTCTTCTTCGTCGAGATCTCTTTGGCTGTCTTTTTTTCTAAATCGGCTGCAGGTATATTATTGTTGGATCTTTTCCTCCTTTTTTGCTCTAGAAAAACTGCCCTCATTTGTGCCAGTGCCATCATTTATCAGTAATTCAGCATGCTATGTTCAAATGTTATAAGTACAGAGTACTTGTGATTTAGATGGTGTTTGGGAGTGATTAACTTATGGGTAAAGTGATTTTCACAAAATCTGAAAGCAGAAGCACCATATATCTGCTTTTCCAAAATGGTGTTCTATGTACACAATGATGGTATAGAAAAGCAGAAGTTGGTATGCCAACAGAATAAAATGATTACCACAGAAGCTAAATTCTAAAAAGCAATGCAGTGCCAAACACCTATAGGTGTTTGATTTTTATCTTTTCGATGAATATTCAATTTTTATATGGACAAGAATACATGATTCTTATATATATTTTTTATTATTATTCATTCAAGAACTATACTTAACCTCTTCGCTTTTTACCCGTTTTGGGCTTCCGTCTACTTGCTAACTTTATGTTAACGGGACTTTGACATGGCTTTACACGTGGATAATAACTTTACCATGTAATTATCCTTAACCCATGCTCCAAATTTGAAACAGAAGAGATAATAAATTACTGGTGAAGAGCCCTAGCTCCAAGATGTAGAAGACACAAGATTTCTATAGTTGTGCACATGAGAATATTTTTTCTATTGAAGGTAAGCCTTAATTTGTGCTTTTAACCTTATACTCCCTCCGTCCATAAATAAAGTTCTCACTTTCCTTTTTCGTCCTTCCAAAAATAATCTTCCCATTTCTATTTTTGGAAACTTTTTTATACCTAAAAGTCTAAAATACCCTCCCCACCCACTCCCTATCGATCTTTTCTTTTTCTTTCTTCCTTCCCCATCCGTCTTTCACAGCCGTAACTTTTCTTTTTCTCTTTTCTCTCTCTTCTTCTTTCTTTTCTTATCATCTTCTTCTTCTTTCTTCTTATTTTTTTCTTTCTTCTCCTTTCCTCTTCTGATTTTTTCCTGTAAATTGAAAGCTGTGAAGCAGGGATTGGAGTAAAGGTGGGGCAGCGAGGCGGTGGCGGTGGTCGGAGGTGATAGGGCGGGCGGTCCAATCTCCTCTTTTTTTTTCTTCTTCTTCAATTTGTGCTTTTTCTTCTTTCTTTTATTCTTTCTTGTCCATCTCCGTCAGATCTGAGAATTTCGATTCAGATCTGTGAAGGAGGTCAGCGTTGACAAAGAAATTGACGGTGGTGACGGAGTACAAGCGCCGATTGATGATGGCGTGTTGGATTGGAGGGAAGGAGCCCCAAGTTTCTTCCTTTTTTCATCTTTTTTTTTGAAATTGAAGGAGCAAGCAAAGGGGACGGCGAGTGGTGTGGCGGCGGCCGGAGTTGATGTGGTAGACCATCAAGGCGGCGTTGGTGATAGTGACGGAGCAGGGAGGAGGTCCTGCGGCGCTGGGAGGGGCATCCGATGCATACTGAAAAATGGGTAGAAAAGAAAAGAAACAAGGGATGAGGGATGGAGGGGTATTTTAGGAAAGTCAAAGTAAAATTCAAGTTTTATTAAACTCCGTGCCAAGTCAAAGTGAGAACTTTAATCTTGGACGGAGGGAGTACATAATTTAGATTGGCTTTTTTTTTCTTTTCAGATTTGCATCTAGGCATCGGAAAGTTTCACTCTTTTTGAGTCTTGGGATGAAGCTCGTATACAATTATGGTGGGAATTTGAAGCGTGGATGCACTTTAGAGTGTGTCGGAGGTAACACATGTGCTCTAAACGATGTAGATCGGGATAAAATTGGTTATTTTGATCTTCTTGATTGGGCAACAGATTGTGGAGATTATCCTCCTGTTTCTGAGTTGTATTATGCAAAATCTAGATGTGATTTGGGTAAAGGGTTGAGTAGAATATATGGTGACAAAGAGACGGTTGGAGAAGAAAATGGTAATGCCATTTGAATTTTCATCTACTGGTGCCTCAAACCGTAATAGAAGAGATACTAGTCTTCTTGTTGAGAAAATTCAACAGAACAACAGCCCTAAGAACACTAAAACTATATCTACATTCTGCCCCATCACATTTTATTGAAGAAGAAATGGTTCAGTCTACAGAAGTTAACATTTCAGAGGAAGATTCACACAATGAAGAGGAAGAAGGGGATGACATTGAAGAGTATACAAGGATTATTAAAGGGAATGCAATTGAGACATGTGTTGAGGATGAGATATTGGGGTCTTCTTCAAAGATTAATATGAGAGATTTAGCAGAGGAGATGACTGCTGATGAGGTACTATTAGGGTGTGACAATGACACTGATGATGATGAGTGTAGGGATGCTAGAAGAAAGTTCAATAATTGGCATGACAAAGAAAATGCAAAAGTGGATGGAATTGTTAAGCTCATAATACAAACTCCAAATCCAACCTTGGGAGGAGGTAGTACAGAACCTTGGGATGTTGTATCAGAGTATGAAGATTCTAATGTGTATGCTAACACCCCAGGAGAGAGTGAGGAAGATGACATTCGTGGAAAAGAGTCAGCACCCATTATTGATGAACACACTGATTTTTCAAAATTAGTTTGGCAACTAGGAATGAGGTTTCCTAATAGGGAATTGTTTAGGGATGCAGTGTGAAGGTATTGAATATTTCAAGGGAGAAACCTTGTGTTTAATGCAACAGAAATAGAAATAAAAGGTTGGGTGCAAGATGTATTCAAGGATGTCCATTTAAAATAGTACGTTCTTGGCATTCCAGAAAAGGTGGGTTTGTGGTGAAAAGAGTGAAAATCAGGCATACTTGTTATAGAGACATGAAAAATAATAGCCAACTTGGTTCTAAATGGATTACAAAAGAATTCTTGGATGTTTTTAAGGCCAAACCCCATTGGCCTGCAAAAGAAATTCAGGATGTTTTTAAGGCCAAACAGAAGGCTGTTTGTCTGTTTTGAGGCTTTGAAAAAAGGTTTCTTGGCAGGTTGTAGAAAAGTCATATGTCTTGATGGTTGTTTTTTAAAGACTTTTCTAGGAGGAATGCTTCAAACAGCTGTTGGTAGAGATGCTAACGATCAGATGTTACCCATTGCTTGGGCTGTTGTTGCGGGGGAAAACACTGAGTCTTGGAGCTGGTTTATGAAAGAGCTTAAAAGAAGTTTGGATGATGAGTCTGGTGAAGAGTGGACATTTATGTCTGACCAACAAAAGGTATATTACAAGTCTTTAGTTTCTTCATAACTGACATTAGATTTGTGAAAGTATATTTATTTTGTTCTTTTCTTTAATTTTGCATTAGCGTTTGCTGAAAGGCGTTGCTGAGGTTTTTCCCACTGCTGAACCAGCTAAAGCTCCCATGAAGAGACCAAGTGGAAGACCAAGAAAAGGTGTACAACAAGTTGGTGATGTCTTGGACAGTTCACAAGCAGGGGTGCACCATAGAACTGCTGAACCATCAGTTAGGGGTAGGGGAAAAAGTACATTAGTAAGTTCATTTCCTTCGCATAATATTCTTTGTTTAAAAAGTATTTGATGATTTTATGGAATATGTAGCTTTAATTACTGAGTTTTTTTATACTAATCATGACATGTTCATAGATGCCTGCTGGATATGGTGTTTACTACAATGAAGGCGATGGAGGCATGTACATCAACACACCTGGACAAACTCAACCTGTACCAACATCAAACATTATGCCCTCACCCGCTCAAACCTCGCAAAATCACCATCACTGTCACGACAAACATGATATTTCCTGAAGAAGAACTTGAGCATGTTTCTTTCTCTTGTGTTTTTTGTTATGTTTTCCAGTGCTCTGTAATCAAACTTTATTAAGCATATGCACTTAGATTAAGAATGATTTCAGTGCTTTGTAATCCCACCAGTTTTTCAGTAATGTTTTGGATGTCTAGTACTGACATTTGTGTACTATATGAGTGGTTTAATAACTTTGCACTCCTATTTTAAATCTTCTTCTTGTGCGTTTTGAACATTGGCTTCGGACGAATTTGGGTCTGTGTCCTATTAGGGTTATGTGTCTAATTGATATGCGGAACTTTATCAATAATTCGGAGTATATAATTACATGGCAGCTTAGTTATCCGCCGGGTAAAGCCAGGTCAAACTCCTGTTAACGCAAAATTAGCGTTCAGACGAGGCCCGAAACGGGTAAAAAGTGAAGAAGTTCATCTTATTTATCACGGAGTATACATCAAAGAGAAAGTTGTGATTAATTTTGGAAGACGGGTGAAAGTTGAGATTATTTTAGAAAATTTTTTCTAAATTTGTTCAAGAATTTATAAATTTTTGTTCTCCCTTTGTCCTGTATTAAATCGCCCATTTTGACTTTAGCTCATAAATAAGGATATTAAAAAGTGGCATTGATTTTCCCAAAATGCCCTCACAAGTTTGAATTTTTAGCTATCGCCCTCACATTCTATATCCATAGCAAACATACATCACACACTCAGAAACAATCAAATATTTGTGGAATCAAACACCACACACATCCAAACATCAACCATTAAATTACATGACACTAAATTATATCCAAACACCAAATTACATCAACATTGGCAGTAGGGGTGTAAACGAACCGAATCGAAGTGAATATCAAGATATTTGAATTTGTATTTGTTTAATTTTTTCGAATACGAATCCGAATCCGAATATGAGACGAATTAAAAATAAGATTTGAATTTGTATTTGATTAATATTTGAAAACTTAACGAATCCTAAACGAATATTTTAATAATTATATTCCATAATTTATATGATGGACCAACATAGATTTTGTTAAATTCAACGTACGCTACTTCTTATACTATATCTAAAAACATTAATACATTTTCATCTTACACAAATTATATTTTATAAAATATAACTAAAAATCATATGTTTTAGATTTTCGTGATACGTTGATTTGTTGAATTCTAGCTTAGTAATTTAAATACATTTTATACTATATTAGTTTACTTGACTATTGATGTTGAAACATGGTTTGTGGGTATATAAATATATTCGAATATCACCCGAATCGAATATACTGCTATTTGTATTTGTATTTGTTTAATATTCAAATCAAAACTAATATTTGAATTTGTATTTCAATAATGCGAATTCGAATACAAATCACGAACCGAATTAAAAGTAATTGATTTGTTTACCTCCCTAATTGGCAGTAGAAGTGTAACATTCAAGACTTGAAATTTCATCTTACACTCCATAGATCTGGCCCGGAACCAACACAAGGTCGGAAATTTGAGAATCAACTCAGTAGAAGTGCAACTTATGGCCGTTGCCGCAAAGGAGAAACTAGAAAGCCCAGGTCTCTGTCATTGCTTTGTTTGTCGTTTGAGTAGATTTTGCCATATCTCTTGGCCTCTTGCCCTCTTGGTGGTGAATGAGCATTATGAATGAGGGGCCACTAATAACTAATCAGAAGATAAAGTAGGTAGACAAGATACTTAGTAAATTATATGAAGGGGGTAGTTTACACATTTTATTTCCGAAAGCTTACTCGACGACTATGGAACATGCAATTTATTTTGAGACGGATGAATTGAGAAAACAGACAATAAAAATTAGGACGGGAAGTATTCAATATACAACAAAATTACAAATTATAACGGTGATCAGTAATGAGTTTCCAAACAAGCTCCATAAAATGTATGTATTCAATTTTCCAATACATTGAGAGTATTCACTTAGTTGATTGACATAATTCTTAAAATATCATTAACAAGGAGTTTTTCTAGTAAAAAAATAATAATTATAAAACAATTAATATAAACAGTTGACTCGAAATAAGTTTCAAACAATTAAGAGTAAATTCTATAATTGGTCATTTATAATAGGGGGGTTTCCAAAAGATATATTATCATTGTGAAATTACATTTTTAGCCCTCAAATTAACACCAATATGATAGAAGATAAAAAAAGGACTATTTGGAGAAAGATACACATAAAGGACTAAATAAGGAAATCCTCCCGTTATAAAGGACCAATTATGGAATTTACTCAACAATTAACACAAAATTTTACAATTAAGAACGGTGTCGTAACGAATTCGAGAAAAATATGGTCGAGATTACCTTCGAAAAGCATGGCAAGAAAACTACTACTAATATTTTAAATGACATCTTAATTAAAAGGACATGCACGTCGCAACCTGGACATGACACTTTTTCGTGGATGAAGTTTATTTACTTTTGGTCCTAGAGATTTAGGTTTTATAAATATAGCACGTGAAGATGATCATTGGCCTATTAGCTCAGCTGGTTAGAGCGTCGTGCTAATAACGCGAAGGTCGCAGGTTCGAGACCTGCATGGGCCATCTCTTTTATTTTTCTGTGTTCATTTATCCTACTTTTTTAGTATTTTATTAATTATCATTCCCTGAATGAGAGCTGACAAACATGCCCGTCTAGCTCAGTTGGTAGAGCGCAAGGCTCTTAACCTTGTGGTCGTGGGTTCGAGCCCCACGGTGGGCGTTTGAATAGTTTTGCCCAAATTTTATTCAATTTTGGTCCCAACTGAGCTTGACTAACCTTGTGGTCAATATTTTGGGATTTTTGGCCAAAATTTTATTCAATTTTGGCCAAATCATTCAATAACCTTGTGGTCGTGAGTTTATAACTACACTAGCATCACACTCACATTTACATTATTAAATGATTTTGGGAGTGTTATTGAAGAATACAAATTGACATATAATGAAAAATATTTTTTATTATTTTAAA